AAACATTATTTTTCCGAAAAATTTCTAAACGATACTTCAGAGCAAGTGTTATGGTAGAAAAATTGAACATACACACAATAAATAAAAAAACCACATCATAGAAAAACCAATATATACCCTCGCTATGCTTCATATCTAAAATAACATATTCTAATCTTTAAATATTAATTTTTTCAGCAGTTTTTTTTATTTTTAATGTATAGTTGTATATATTTCGACTTAATAATTGAAGTTTAGCTTATACAATTTAACAGGATATTAAATCTTAGTATAGATGTTTAGAATAAATAAAACACTCTAGATATTCTTGTTAATTTGCATTTTTATTTTATTTTATTTATATAAAATTAAAATTGTATACTATCCAATAAGATAAAGAATATTCAATACAAGATAAATTGTGTACATGTCATTTGTATAGTCGCGTTTTGTTTATCGAACGAGCAACATGTATGTTCCGCTCTCGAATTTTGAATATACGCGTTCGTTTAGTAATATACTAACTATGAATATGTCTTCGCCTTTGACACACGCGTGTTGGGGCTTGGATCGTCTTTCGGAATGTCTGTGACGGTTCAGGTTTTAGTTGACCATGCATTTATACTACAAATACAACAAGACAACGAAAAACTTAACTAAGTTTGTAACCCAATTACATTTGAGCAAAGCAATACTACAGAGTGAATTATTACATTTCCAAGTGAGTAATATTAATGATCCTAATAAAAATATCGAATACAATACGAAGAAAAATGAGAAGTTGGATTCTAATTCAGGTGTTAGTAAAAGCCGCAATATGATTGAGCGAAATATCTGGGAAAACATCTTGACTCACGACTTCACTGGAACATCGTGTACGCCAGAAAAAGTTGCAAACAAAAAATGCACAAACTGTTGTGGCTAGTTGGTTGACAATCCGAGCTAGTCTTAACCAGCAAACGTATCTTGTATGTATCGATTCTTAAACCGATTAGGATTTATGGTATTCGACTGTGGGGTTTTGTCAGTAAGTCCAATATCGAAATAATACAACGATGCCAGATGATCGCTTTTTGTACCATTTTCGCAGCATATCGTTATGATAAGAACGGCATAATTCACCGCGATTTGAAAATGTCATCTGTGCAGGATAAAATTACCCGATTTGCTCGCAAACATGCAAGAAAACTGGAGCTCCACACAAATGCGACTGCCAAACAGCTCCTCGACTACTCGAAGGATATCAGACGACTCAAACGACTGAAGCTATTTGACTTAGTCTAATGATTAGTTTAAGAATGGGACTGCTTCAATGGAAGTAAAACCCCACACAAGTTTTGTATATATATTTTGCATTGTATGCATAAATACTTCTATTGATTTATATTTATAAAGATTCTTTTATCGTTAAAAAAAAAAAAAAAAGTCAATTTTACTGTAAAATGAATGGTTTTAGGTTATTTTTCAAACTGTTTCGATTTGTGTTAGTGCATTTAAATTCAAACGGGAACGTCATTGTTCTAACTTTTGATAACTAGGTTAAACACACATTGTAACCTTGTTTATTATTCTACATTCCACTCTCCACACATGTTCCACCCAGCTAAGACTTCGACTTTTCATGACACCTACTTTATCGGTTTCGTTAAATGTTTTCCTTTATACTGCGTTTGTCCTTTTCTTTATCCTTTATTCATATTCATTGTTTTCATTGATCTTTTCATGGCCAAATATCATCTTTAGTATTTTCTTCTCAAATATCATTAGTTTCTTTTAGTCCCCTTTTATTGATTCCCATCCCCGAATGTATGTAATGCAATATGCCCGACTTTGGCTTTATATAGCCTAATTTTGCCCTCCTGGATTCTAGTTTTGACACTGTAAATATTTTTTACTGAATAACATTTTAAAAACAAAATTCCAAATTATAAAAGAAATATTATCATAAATTGTCCCGTTCTTTGAAAGAATAATATTTGTAGGTTATAAATTGAAATAAAAATCGTATTTCTTGTATTTTATTTTTTCCCCGATTATTATGCAAATTACATTGGATATCAAAAATCGAATTTTTCTGTTAGTGGCTACCAACTTTTAAGTTGGGGCAATATTTCCGGTATATAACCTGGTGAACAGAAATCAAAAAAAAAAAAGGAAACGATGGCGCCGAAGTATGCCATAAATATTTGCCTTTTTACACATAATTATTTTTCTGATTTTTCCCATATATTTTAAAAATTATTCAGAATTTTAAAAAATGACCATTTTTAGTAACTAAAAAATATTATTTTTCAGAAAAAGTTCTACTCGATATTTCAGAGCAAGTGTTCTGGTATAAAAATTAATCATACGCTCACAAAAAAAAAATTCAATAT